CGTTCTTCCAATGTGAGGAGAACAACTACCTGGATCCTGCACAGGTTCGTCGTATGTTCATGCGTCACTCACCAGGAAGGTCTTTCAGGGCGTGCCAAGCTTTTTGAAAACGGTCTTTTGCATGATATAGGGGCACATGCGGGGACCACAGAACCATGGTTAATTTTTCCTGAACGGCCCTCTGAATACCAGAAAAAGGGGTCCCTAGTTCGATTCCTCGTGGTGACAAATTTTTGCATTTCGAGTTGACGTTCCAAAATTCGCGCAAAATGGAGTTAGCATGAATAATTAGTACCATATTCATGATTAGGACCGTCAGTAACCCTTACAAAAAGACTTTGACTTAAAAATTGGTGTAAGAGGTGTGACACCAAGCAGCCCCACTGTGGTGTCACACCTTTTTCACCAGTTTTTAATCAAAGTCTATTTGTAAGGGTTACTGACGGTCCTAATCATGAATATGGTACTAATTATTCATGCTAACTCCATTTTGCGCGAATTTTGAAACGTCAACTCGAAATGCAAAAATTTGTCACCAACTAGGACCCCTTTTCTGGTATTCAGAGGCCGTTCAGGAAAATGAACCATAATTCTGTGGTTCTGCATGTGCCCCTATATCATGCAAAAGGCCGTTTTCAAAAAGCTTGGCACGCCCTGAAGGATCTTCCTGGTCAGTAGTTGTGGTTGTTTTTTTTTGGTCACATAAATGAGTATATGATCTCAGGCAATGCCAAGGTGAACCGTCCACTCGCAATATTCGAATGACGGAACGCATTTGCGGTTTTGGGAGGGGGGGAGTGGCTGGAGTTCGATTGGACTTGAGCAAAGTTTTATTCACAAATGAAGGGTTCTTTTTTACGCTTCTGGAAGAAAAGTGGGTGGACTTGGGCTGTACCGACTGGTTCCGGAGCCAGATTCGAATACTGTAGAAACAGCTATGATGACGAGGGTGGCGGTCAAAGTGGGGGGCTGTGGGCGTGGGCCTGTATGGGACTTCCTAGATGATTTTGTGTGATGGGTCCCACCATGGTCCTCCTAAGGGGGGGGGTCGCAGAATTTCTGAAAAAGTACGAACGCGACGGTTATCCCTGGCTCCTGGCGGTTGGCTGGGCAATTTTTCTTGTACAGCGATTCTTGCTCTCAAGAACGATTGTAGCGCAGGGTAGAGTTAGGCAATGCGGAGCAATTCGGACGGGATTCTAATTTCTGATTCTCTGAATGGGGATTGTATTTGTGGTCTTAGGGGACAACATAGTAGTGGAAGTAGTGGTGTGTTTAAAGCGGCTAATCGTAAAATCTTTGGCTATAAAGAGATATTTATGTTTCACAAGAATGCTGGGTTGTGAACAAAACTTTCGCCCCAGGCGGGACTAGAACCCGCACCTCTCGCTTTCCGGGCAAGTGCGCTACCAGTTACGCTACCGGGGCACCATTTCATTCCAACTCAGCTTTTCATGGTATACGTACCATAGCTTTCAGCACTCACACGTCTAACGTGTTGAGCCGGTTAGCCGATATCGGCAATGACCGCGAGGCTGAAAGCTTTAGCAATGAATTTTTGACTTGTTTTTGTTTGTTAACTGCTGTTTTACGCCGCAGTTGTGAATGCCCCAAGAATATTGGGTTGTGAACAAAGCTGAGTTGGAATGAAATGGTGCCCCGGTAGCGTAACTGGTAGCGCACTTGCCCGGAAAGCGAGAGGTGCGGGTTCTAGTCCCGCCTGGGGCGAAAGTTTTGTTCACAACCCAGCATTCTTGTGAAACATTCGCAAGGCGAACTGCGGCGTTAAAACAGCAGTTAACAAACAAAACAAGTCAAAATTTTTATTTCAATATTGAGAAAAATACTTTAATGGAGTCGGGCGAAATCTGCAAAGCGCGTCCTGAAGTTTTCTCCACTATTTCCTCCATTATAAACAGCTCGTAAATGTCGAGGGTCGGGTTGTTAAGGGTGTATGGGAAATCCACCAAACGTGTCACGTCTGCAGCAACAGGTGGTTTGGGTTCGACTTGCCCGAGCGAAAGGCTTAGTCCCGGTGGACAAAAGGACAAAATAACGTCGTGGATCTCTCAGATAGAAAGGCCGCCTCTGATGTTGACGCAGCCCTATGAAGGGGAGACTAGTCAGAAGGCTGGAAACACGGAGTGTGCCATGTTCGGGTTACAGTAGTTGTCGGGAAGAGGAAGATGTTGCTTTTGGAAGAATTCATTTAGAAAAGTCAGTACCTCGATAGATTGAAAGAAGTAGGCCTTAAATGAAGCTAGAACGGTAATAGGTACCTCAGGTGGGATTGTGGAGAGGAGCAGCGAGGAAGGGGGGGGGGGGGGGCCACGGTTGGTTGGCTGGCACAGTTTTTCTTCAAGCTGGAAGCCACCTGATAATCAAGCGGCCACATCCCTCCGTCTGCTAGAAGTTATCCTGCCGCTTTTCTCACCATAAATTATGGAATGTATTCGGCAGCTCTCACAAGATATTAGTACTTACAGGTTCCTTACATAAAACGAAATGCTCATCGTGCGTACGAAAAGGCAGCGATATCAGGAGGACATCTTTTTGAGGACGAAAAGGCGAATCGTACAACTGAGAGCAGCCGTTCGAAAGTCAGTTGATATTATGCAACATTTATTACTATCCATTGTGAAAGCTTCATTTATTAGGTTGTCGTATAAGCAACGCCGTTTTTCTCTGAATGAAATCTAACTTAAAGGAATCTTCCACGGAAAAACATCGCCTCCATTCCTACAAAAAAACGATACCTTAGGCCCCTTGCTTCATGAAGATAGCAAAAAGAACGGAACATAGGCGATGGTTTTGATAATAATTATGATAACCAGTTCGACTATGAAAATTTTGAATTCCCGCTGTAAAACTTCCACAACTGTTAGCGGCGTGGAGTCAACACGTGCAAACGTGTCAAAAGCGTGAACGTGAACTGGATTCATGTTGGGCCCTTCCCATAAACTGACACGTGGATCCGCACCTGCCACGCACTTCGTCACAGAAGCACTTCCGGTCCCGCCTACTGGTCCAATCCGGTCCCACAGATGGGTCTTTCCAAGGGCTGTTTCTCTTGGGGGTTTCATCATTTTCGCTCTGAACTTTGCATATGGTCTTCAATGACCATGCCCAACACCTGTACACAAGGAAAGGATAAGCAGTCTTTCCGTGGAAGATTCCTTTAATCACATCTGTTATCTGTATCACCGCTTACAGATTTTCACCTCGGTGTTGGTTTTCACCTCGTGTGTTGTGACTGTTTACTCAATCGATAAGATCAAACACGCTTTGCTCTCACCCTTTAAGACCGCCTCAGTAATCACTCCGAGCCAGCCGCTGAAGTTCGTGTTTGATCAAAGAGGTGCGCATAGCAACCGCCCCTGTTGTTGTGCGACCAACCACTAAGCTCTGAGCGGTGGCCCTCATGGTTCAATAGCGTGTGTGTATACAAATTCAAAAGCATTTTGTGGTCTAATTGGCAAAGAAACCACGCGCTGTACACTAATCGCCCCTAACACACACGTTCCGAAGGGGTCTCACGGCATTTTATCTCTATTATTTGAGCCGTTAAAATTAAGTCAATCGGTTGTGAAATGTGTGAGTGCAACTGTGTCTTATCTCCTTCAGTAATTACCCAATGCAGAAAAAATAAATCTAAAAAAATCATTGTCGTATTCTCTCATCCCAGCCCAGAAACCTCATCTAAACCCTTATCGCTTATGAGATGGATGCGTTTTGCTTCTGCATTCACTTTAAACAAGGTGGATTTCAAGATAGCGAAATGGAAGGCCCAATCGACAAAAATTCACCAAACCAAGAAGCAACTCAAACTTCACCTTCAACAACACCTTCATAATAGGAAAAATTGATGAATGATGATTGCACATAGCCACAAATTCTTCTAACTGCTCCTCTACGGGGTTGTTTTAGGTTCTTTATCCAATTTTTTTTACAGGCGTCGGGGTTAGCCGACAAATCCTAGGTGTTAGCTCCTGAATTAATCATTGAGGGAGCACAATTTTTTAGCAAAATTTTTCTGTGCACTAGGTTTGCTATGGTAGCAGGGTGAAATATTGAAAGTTGATCAATCCTTCTCTTGTGTGATCACGCATGCATTCCACGAGAAATGGTTTATTGGGCAGTCCAGCCGTTTGTGACGAGCTGTAGTCCGTCTCACGCATCTTGCGACATCGGGCTCAAATGTGGTTTCGGCACCTGGGCAATGGTTCCCTGGAACAGCTTACAAGGGGTTTTTCTAACTGGAGCTTTATCCTGCGGGCCACCCTTTACATCTCTTACTTGGTTGTGTAAAGGTGCAGCCGGAGGGGAGCCACATACTAGTCAACGGCGGGTGGATGATGTAATGGTTAAGCGTGTCCCTGGTTTATATGGGTGAGGTCACGTAATCGGTTGTTTAGCATGAGGATCTCTTGCATTTCTTCGGAGCTTCTCATACGTGCCCAGAAATGGATTTCAAACCTAGTTAATTTATCGACTTGCGCCCCCACTTGGCTTCTGGAAGAGGCGGGCTTTGGAATTAAAATAAAAACAACCAGACAATCGTGGTCATGATCTGGAAACTGATCTCTTGCATTTGATGGCGTGGTGCACCACAAACCCCTGCACCAATACGTCAGTTGAACTTTCATAGCTCTTCTAGTTGGTGCTGGTGCCGCGCTCCATCATCCGAGATCACCTCGATTTATCTTTTTCACATCGCATAATAATTTCACCCAACTAGGAAACTTACGCTACCTTGTTGTACTCCCAAGTTGCTTTCAGCGTTTCGGAACACAACTGGGGATGGCATGAACATGATTTCATCGGCGTTTATGAAAGGCTATCCGAGAAAGCAGCATGCTTTGCTAACTTTAGGTTTGCCATTTCTGTCCTTCGGTTTTCTCAATTTTCTAATTTTCTCTGAAACTTACTCATAATTCAGTGCTCGTCATGAGGCTGTCGCTGTGATTATGGATAATCGTCCACCACCAAGTGAAGAAAAACGCGCCAATCAAGTCTTTTTCGTAAGTATCGTATCGATGAATTGAAGTATTAGTATAAACTCATTGCTGAATAAATGCACGTAGTTTAGTTGATAGATCCGCGAGCGCAAAGACAGGATCCAAGAAAATTCAAGAGTATTGGAGAAGTGAAGCGATACTATGGAGATCAGGTTGAATCAGCTCTCAAAGAGATACAAGAAGTCGGAGAGACGGTAACAAATTTTTTTCTGTCATACGTATCAACCTTTCTTTTACTCGGAACTAAATCAGTAGCTGACCAGCTTTCTTCATTCGCTTTGGTCCCTCGTACAGTCTCTTTTTAATCGGAGATAGGAAATTTTTGCAACATCTGATCTCAGCTATCTCGGATTTGGATTTAGACCGTCTTTCGAAAAGGTGTTGGGAGTACAAACCTAGGGCCTTGAGGCCGTAAAAATAACGTGAAAGAGCTTGTATTCTGACGGCAGCTTGCAATTTCTTACCCTCGTTCAAAAAGGAAATGTATGACTGAAGATAACGAAAACAAGGGAGGCAAATTTAGAATACATTTGATGGGAGAATGTAAAATTATAAAATAAACAGGTTTCAAAGGAATAATCAGAAGTCCACCCATACAAAGATAGATGCAAGATGATGCTAATAGCCCAGAGACTCAATCGCCACTGAATTTCATGATTTGAGTTGTACCTGACGTACATGATGAGTCGAGGTGATCCAGCTACTTCATTAACCGCGTTAGAAGGCCAAGATAACAGTGGAGGGGAACACGACGTCATCTATGCAGAACGGCATGGCCCATCAGCAATAAATTTATAAGTCCTACAAGTAACTGATATTATTACCAATTTGGCTCAGTACGCTGCTACACTTCACACGACTGGAAAGAGCGATATGGAAGGGCACCATCAAGCCCTCCGATCCTGAATTTGACAGTCAGTTCCGCCATCCCTCCCTCACCTCCACAGGCGACTGCGTCGCGGCGGAGAGTGACTGAGAGTGTGGTTGGAGTTCATGTAGCAGTAAGGAGATCTCGATCGAATGTCACGAAATGCTCATAGTATGTTGATAACGGAAAACCTATGGGCTGTCCAGTTTGGATGATGGTATGTTTACCCTTTTTCCTCATCCCTATCCTCTGATGGAGAGGGGCATTTAATGGGCGGACACGCCATCATGGAGACTCGCAACCTACAGACCGATGAACCGTCACACAATGTTAACGGTTCATACATAGGAAGATAATATTAGTGAAGATATTATAACAATTTCGGTTCTAGTTTTCCTCCTTGAATCAGTCCTGCGTTATTTACTCTACCATCTTCTATCTAAATTGAAACCGAAAAGTTATTTCAACTTCTTTTTCTTCGTGGAACAGAACTATTAGGTTGCAACGAAAGTACGATTCACACTTCAATTTCAAAAACCCAAATTTCTGCTGGAATTGAACTTTATTCCAAATAATAATTTCACAGTATATTCATATCTACGACAGTCCGCCATCGGTCGACAAGGTAATAAATGCCTCTCCTCAAAATTCGGCAGGGGATTCATTTTATTGCCTCTTTCCTCTGTTATAAAGCTACCGATGACATAAGGGGTACAAATTCGGAATGACAGCATTTATCCCCTTTATAACTTCTATAGAATAACATATAATATGATCAATATTCTTGCTGAAAATAAGTGTATCGAAGAAAAACTCAATGTATCGAAGGAAAATCACGAACCACTACATAGCACATGCCTTTACATAGCATCATCGCAGTGAATTCCAGATTGACAGGATGTGGCGACTGTTCTCACCATCGACCTATTCTAGTACTGTCACGCCGGACGTCAGTAGAATGGATCGAATCGTGGAGCTAATGACACAGGTAGTTAAATGCAGCTGAGCAAAAAGGAAAGCAAATGAAAATATTAAAGAAAAAATTTAAGCAAGGTATGTTAGAAGGAGCGGACGGTATAGCTGGGGGTGGAGCTGATAAGTTAACGTTGGTCGAATATCCTAAGAAAGTGTCTAGAGAAGTATTCACTCATCTGGTTGTATCGGTAGAGTTAAGGTTCAGCAGGGGTGACGTGGACGAGGTCAAGTCGTGGCAGTGGGGGCGTGAGGTTCGAAACGGCGGGCGCAGCCGCCGCCAGCCGCCGCGGATGCGATGCGTCGGCGGTAGGTGATCTAGAATTCATGGTTCTAGCATTGGGGAATGTAGGATTAGATGAAGTTTCCAGTCGTGAAACACGGTATATGATCACCTGCCCCCTTAAATACAGGTTCCTTGTCCCTTGCCATTATTTACAAACTTATTCTGTCATACTGATGTTATGCCTTCCTCACCGTTCCACTGCGTCTTGGAACGTAATATTTTCCGATTGAGCCAGATTATCGCTCTCTGATAACAATTCAGGCAGTTGATTAATAAAGAAGTCAAATTATGTTCAAAAGGACAACCTTTACATGGCACAAGCTCTGTACAGTGAGGCTTAAATAACTGCGGAGATCTTAAGGGATCTTGACGCTTGTTGGCTCACTGATGTCTGGAACTTTGGTCTTATCAGTTCTCTAACCCCACCAGCAACTTATGGACAAGGACCGTTAAGCCAAGGCCCATACAAAAATCGCCGCACCAGCTGCCGCGCGCGACTGCCCGCCGCGTGAGCGGCGTGACCTCATTAGCCGACGATTGAATTGACCGTCTCCCGTTCCAGAGTATTCGTGATAACTATCATGAACTGGTATCATAGTTACTCTACTTTTCTACCTTTTTTCCTTGATTATGCTTTGCTTATTTGTCACCAACTAGGAGCAGAAGTGGTGAAGTGGCAGGCAGCGTTGCATACCAAGCGCACAACCGTGATTCGAACCTGTATCGCACTCAGTCCCGATCAATCAAGCAGATCATGCCTTCAGGGTCGGTTACATGGTTCATGGATATCAGCTGGCTCCAGAAGTCTTTGTATACGCCAAATACCATTCAAAATGCCACTATTTCCAAGTGTAAGCAACATTTGTGATGCATCCCAGAGAGTAACATTGACGCCGATGTTACTCCCTTTCACCGCTTATCATGACTGATTGTTCATAAATACGGTATTGAGGATGTTGTAGTGAAGTAGTCCAAAGATCAGGAACCAAACCAGAATCATTACTCCGAGTCACATGGCCGCGAAATGCCTTCATCAGGCCTGAGATACGGTGTATCAATTGTAACAGAATAGCTAGTTGATAAATAATTTTTTGTGCTTGACCCGTCCTCCCTGCCTTGGCCGGCATGCCGGCATCATACTTTGCGACCCTAGCGACTCGCTACCGAATGGTAGGGTGCGAGCGATGCGCCAGCGATTTGAACGATGTTCTAGCGGCACGGCAGTGTCTAGAAGTGGAAGGAGGGGAAAGTGCGAGAATTAACGTGCAGCGAGAGCGACTCTCGCCACATTCAAACACATCGAGCCGCTGGTACATCACTATAACCGCTGGTGCATCGCATTGCTCGTACTTGCGATTCGCTAGCAGCTCGATGAGTTCATGCAATCTGACACAATTCATCAATCCATTCATCCGATCTCCAACAATGACTGTGTGGTGCGCACCGTAACCGTGGATGTAATGGAACATGAACTTGCTAATTTACTTCATGTGTTTCTTAAATTTGAGATTTTCACTAAAATAGATGATTTCTGCATTGGCATTAACCTCATTCACATGGAAACACCAAAAATATATTTTCAGTACGAAACAGGAAGGTTGCAGCGACGAGCATGGGCAGAAAAAATGCAATCGAGGCGAATGCGTCACTTCTTCGAGGACGAATTTTCCGATGTAACGACTTAGCGCTTCTCAATATATTATAAAACTCCATTTTTTAGCATCAATCACCAAATTTCGACAATAAAGAAGTAGTCACCAGGCAACATGATCTTACTTGAAATCACACCGAGAAATTGCCTTCTTAACTACCTAAGCAACGCTTTTCCTGCAATGACAGAGCCTGTGACTACCATTTCTCATTGGGTGGACGGAAACGCTCAGGATTTTTGAAATCTTGACATATCTCTGCAATATTATTGCAAAAACATCAAGCAACGGGTAAAATGGTAGAAATAACAAACAGTCATTCGTGCTATTCTCCATAAAGACAGATGGTTTCTGCGGTTCCTCCGCACCTTTTGCCAAACCTTCATGGATAAGGTGATGTCGAAGTACTCGCATCAACCAGAAATATGGCATATTAGAAGAAGCAAGCTTTATGGCGCATTATGAACGCTTATGTTTACGTTTCTTATAGCTTATCCTTGGGCACCCATGCTGTTGCGCGCACAACACAGTTCCGCGGCAACATGGACTATAATTTGACCTTGATCCTCTAAGTTGCTATGTTTTGCCACGCTACTTCATTTGTCCTTCCATGCTTTATTTGATCCGCTTTCTTTCGGTCTCCATGCTGTCTCTAGGGTATGCACAGGAGGCCCGTCGCGCAGCAACAAGGCAGAGTCAGCGGACGAGTCAGTCGCAGCGCGTACTGTAGTGATTTCGCGTCAAGTTAAATAGAATGTACCATTGTACGTCCTACATCGCACATCACGCGCTGCGACTCGTCCGCTGACTCTGCCTTCTTGCCGCGCGACGGGCCTCCTGTCGGGTACCCCTGTCTCGGGATCAAATGGCGGTTTTGAATCTTAGTGTTTCCGTTCCTTTCGGCGCATGTCGCACTGGCCGGTAGCTTTGGCCTTCTCCCATTCGCCGTCCGCTATCCCCATTTCTCCTGGTCTCCGGGACTTCTTGGGCCCGACTTTTAAGTTTAGTTTCGAACTAAGCCCGTTCTGGCGCATTACCATTCAACCTATCCGCTTTCTCTGACGCGTCCCTGTATTCTTGACCATGAGAACTGCGTCACTTTCGAGTGGAATCGGAGAATTCTGAGAACCCGTCCCCGGCCAGGCCTTGCTGCACCCGGTTCTATGCCTACCAAGGTCCCATAGAAAATTGGAGTCCTTTCCTGATTAGTGTCTCTGTCAAACCTTGTGCCCAAGTCATTTGACAAACTTAACCGCATTGAATTTATTATTTTTCTTTAGTCTTTTCACTCATTGGAGTGCACAGCTTTGCAGTGTTGTAGTGCATCCACTAGTGACATAAATTTTCAGGGATGGTACCAACCAATTATCCATGATCTCGAACATTCGCTCTACAAGGCGATTATGGAGCTGGAAAGAGATTATTGGCCAAGGTTCAAGGCCTACATGGAGAACGGTACAGCCATCAGGGTGAGCTATCTTTAGTATTAGTTAGTTGTTTTTCTTTATGGACTGTCACTATGGAGTTACAAAATAGCTGATTTTTGACAACTGTGCTCTGCTAAGCCACCAGGGAAGTAAATAACAAGGAAGTCGAAGACAGAAATGAAATGAGGCCCAGTTCTTGATTTGGAACTCCTTTCTTCGGTCTGTAATCGCGTAGTATTCCATTGGACTTGGCAAATTATGCACTTAATGATAGGCGATAAGCGCTACTCTGGGAGGAGACGGATTGGGTGAGCGCTAATTATTCCCCGCTCTGTTCTCGGCGCGAGTGGTGAAGTCGGCATGGGGTGCTACGGGTCAGGACTACAACAACAGTCGTTATACAACAAGCTTTTTCGGGGGCGGTCGATTTTACGACGTGCGGGAGACAGAAACAATTGCTTTGTACATCGGCGGATGCATCTGTCAAGTCGTTGCAGGGCCCAACCGCATTTAATTTGCACTCGTGCTGGACTGGAGTCGAATGCATGGCGTCCCTCTCTTTACGTGCTTGCTTCACTTCATAGAAACAAGGTGATCTATGTCGTTTCAGACAACTACCATGCTGTTCTTCGACGACGTTTCAGAAGAAAATGAAAAGCGAATGGAAAAATTCGTCAATGAGATGCATGACTGTACAGTTGGAGAAATTAAGACGGCCACTCGTGAAATGTTAAAGGATTTCAAGCGACTTTATCGGGAGCTACAGGTACGAATCAGGCCCTTGTTCCTTATCTGGAGGGAATATTCGCCTTGAAGCCGTGTGCAGATCTTAATGAATGTTGGCTTAATGGTCATTAAGTCGTAATGGATGACCCGAGGTCAGAGGAGCGCTTCATCAATTACTTTTTGTCGTTTTGCTTGCCTCGGAGCATCCACTGGATCCAAAGGGTCAGGGGGATCAAGCACCGGCCAAAGCTTGAGTTTTCGAAGTCACCAATTGAAGGGGAACGGTTAATATGGAACTCCAGTAGCTGTGAGCTTAAGTGATAAATCATTGTCCGTCTTCAGGTCTGAGTACATGAAAATAAATAAATGAATAAGTATGTGTTTAGAGAGAAAGCTTTCGCACATGTTGCAGACCCGCTGATTTGTGTGTACTGCTGGTTTTACTTTTTTATTTTTTCGAATAATACGAAATATTGTTCAAAGAAAGCTTTTCCAGTCTTCCTATTCGAATCTCTTCAAAAAAGAACTACCAGATTACTTGGAGAATTTCGAATTTGGGACAAAATTCGTCAGGTACGTTCAGTGGTGACAATGTGGTAAAGTTGTCCGATGTAACGAATTTCAGAGAGAATTTTGCTATGGTGAACGTATTTCTTCAACAAATGCACTTAGAATATTGGAGACAAAGTAAAACATACGGTTTCTGGAGTCTTGCCTGTGAGTCTTTTTCGAAAGAGATCCTTCGAAAAAAGAGTAGTAGCTGCCAAAATATGTGATTTGATCTGGTAGCACGATGTTAGCGATTACGAAGCCTAACGTCTCAGAAGACCTCAGCCCTCACGATTCATCTGGCCCCAAATACAGCACCAATACCATTGCGAAATCGCTCGAGCGACAAATTCGTTATTTTGAAAATGAATTTTGCTCAGATTTGCTCAGATTAGGGGAAATTACACAAGAATGAGCTAATGTAAGATCGAACAGCTCCCATGGGTTGAGCCATGCGTGTGACTCCCATTTAGATTAATAGTTGTTTAAAATTGCGCAGAACCATTCTGCTGCTGCCATTATCTGTTTGAGGCCAACCGATGTTTGAATCGGTGTCTTACTTCTCGATTAATCCCAGGAAGACTGAGAGGCTCGAAACTCTTTCTGCGAGATATTCTCCCATTGCTAGGTCTTAGAATATTTTTGCAATCAAGGCTTTTTTGGCTCTATCGCAAAATACCGGGGCATCCTATAGGGGTAAGCTCAGGAAGGCGCAAGAACATAGGGGATAAAAAAGGATAGAGCAATTGCTGTTGATCATTCCCATTTTGGGATGCGGC